TAGGGAAAATATCTGTGGTTCTTACACTTGGGAAACTACTACTGTGAAAACTGTCTTCAAAAAAGAGGCGTTGCTACTACAAAGCCACTATGCTTGTCACCACTTCTGAAGACTCTGCTCAAAACTCCCAGGTTTCCTCTTCTGTTCCTTTTTCAGTGCTTTTTTTCCCCCCCTTCTCTGCCATGTTTGTTTACATTTCATTGTTGTGTATTGCTTGTAGGCTATTTAGTCTCTATAAGGGACTTGTAGCAGAAAAAGGTCTAATAATGTGAGACGCTCAGTTCTTGTTAGTGCAGCTGCCATCTGTGAAAGGGAATTCTGCATGGGTGGCTGTAGGTGCGAATTGAAAAAAATGGAGAGGTGGTGAAGAAATCGAAGGTGTTGTGAATGTGAACAGAGAAATTGGATTGTTGAACATTTCTTGTCCTGCAGCATAAAATAATTATTGATGAAAGTTTTACTCTGCAGAAAATCTGTTTTGAGCTTTGTGCACATGAGCTTTTCCATTCAGCATGCAGATTTAAATGATATGGAGAAATGCAGTCTCTTTTAGAAAGCAACTGTTGATGGTAACGGCACTAACTAACCTGGAGTGTGTTTCTGTTGCCTGTGAGTTTGGCAGAACAGGCTGGGGAAGCACTGAGCATCCTTTGCTATTCTCGTGATGAAGAGGACTGATCTTTTGCACTGTACTTCGGGTTCCTCCAACTCCACCGAATAGATTATCTGTTGCTTTTTCAGGAGGAAGTTACAATAATTGTATTGATTGTCTTTCATTTGACTCTTGACTGAGAGGAATAAAAAGCTTCGGGATTATTGATTTAGTTTTGCACTCAAGTATTTTACTTTTGTTTTCACTTCCCAAAGGACCTAATCCCAACGCCATTTAGGCAGTTGTATAAGGCCTTAATGCAGTAGACATAATGCAGTTATGCTCTGCAGAAGCCTGAATCAGGAGAGAGCCCATGTATCTATCGCCTTGCTCAGGCATTTATAACTATATCAACTGAGAATAACCCCAAAAATGAAAGAAGAGAAGTTTAAACAAATGGATTTGTTTATTCTGCCTTTTTAGGAACTATTCGTTTCTCTCACGCACCCGAATGACTTCTAGATATATCCTTGCTGTATCTGTCCTTGTCACTAACTAGCACCAGAGGGGCAGGAATTTAGAGCTAGAGATTGTCGAGTGCCAAGCACATCCTGATCTTTTTGCTACTGAAATGCTGTATCTGTTGTAGTAGAGAGGGTCAGTGTGCGGTGCTTTGGAACATCCATGAGTAGGAGTCAGCCAATGTTGTGTTCATAGTTAGCACTTAAACTTTAGTGTTTAAATTTGATGGTCTTCTCCTGACACCCTATTCTGCATCCCCAAATAAAGTGGAGAATAGATAAT